TTTGTCTCGTTTCAATGCTATTCTATTCGCCGATACCATTCTTATCACCCCATTCTTCAATTTATAAGGACAGCTACATGAGCCACAACTAGACACACATATTCTTCGTTGTCTTTACGCGTGGTATTCTGTGCACTCCACCTAAATGTTTTCCCAAAAAGTGATACTTATATCCATACCCTATCCCATTCTCATCTATTTCCCTATTTCTTCCTTGTGAGCACCAGCTTACCCTCTCTCTTCCATAATCCGTTTTAGGCAGCGCCGTACTAGTGTTTGTATCGACCCAGGCAATTACTCTTCCCTCGATTATATCTATTGACTATCTATCAACGTAAAGACCGAACTGTTAATTCTTCGAGCCACCCCCCCCCCCCCCCCCCCCCCTTTCTTATGTCATTTTCCTCAGGGTCTGTGGCGGCAAGGTCGGGCTCCGGCGGGTTTTGAATGCCGCGACTCGATACCGCAAGATGCCTCTGTCAAGGGAAGGGCATTGCCATCAATTAGACTCAACTAGTCCGTAAAGATGAGATCAACTGCTAGGACCACGAGGACCCTTTGCGGCCGGTTCAGGGCAAAGCGTCATCACTGGACTGGCCTTCCGTTTTTTCCGCTGACTGACGAACAGAAAACGGAGCGGCGTTCGGGATTAGCGATGGACCTGACGACTATTCCCACGTCACGACGAGCATGAAATCGCGTCGCAAAGGCAGCTGGTTACTGCTTCTGGCAATGAAGTCGCGGCAATCCGCAATTGAAATGCTCATCGGAGAACAGCACCATCTGACCACGGGATGCGATGCAATTTCCTTGGTGAGAGCGGGATGGGCACAATGCGACTTTTAGGGCTCCTGGCTCGTTACAATTGACAGGCCTGTCGGCCCAGGAGGCATGATAGTCTGGCGGCCAGCTGCAACTCTTTGCGACCGCCGAGGGTTTGTCTCCACGGCGGGCAGAAAAGTGAGGGCATCGTGAAAAGCCGGCCTAGAGGTGATCTCGTGTGCCCTGATGACCCCCATACTGTAGCTAGCTCTGCTGGGGTCTGTGGCTTGGTAACCACCCAGTAGCCCGGAGCACATCGGGGTGTAGGCGGCACGAGTCGGAAGCCGTGGGGTTCACGGCCGGCCTTGTGACCTTGCGGCCGGGGAGGGGTGTGAAAACTGGCAAAGCATCCGGATGTAGGCATTCGAGATTGATGAGCGCTGCAAGAGGAGGCATGATCTCGTAGAATGGCCCTGCCTCAATGACCTTCACGTCTCCCGAAGCGACCGCTCGCATGCTTTGGATGGAATGCCTCCGGGAAAGCCTGGTCTTCATGTAGATTGCACAGCCAGGCACCGACAAACAGAGTCGTCAGTACTTCATTAGTGGAAGGCAGCCATCCACGGGACAGATATACGATGGATACGAAAACCTTGGTCAATTAGGGGTCGGCACCAGTGTTGCGACAGCAATGAGGTAGGTGGATATGCATGCGCATTGCTCAGCCCTACTAATTATCCTCATCCTGACTGATGGGATGCGTATGAGGAGTGTTGCACTGCTCCTGTGTTGCTGGGTGATGTGCCTGGCGTGTGGCACTCACTTGCAGCGACCGCGCAAGCCGGGCGGTGCACCGTGCGTGGCATTTTCGTGGTTCTTGGAGCAACAGGATTGGCTCGTTCCCGACGTTCCTCGTGCCTCGTTCCTCGTTCTTCGCTCGCTTCGCTTCGCTTTCGCGTCTTAGACGGAGCCGAAGGAGGCCGGTCGCTCGCTAGGACGGGGACGGATGAACTGAAATGGGGGCGGAGCATGCATTCGACATTCGTGATCTTTTCGCTTTCGAGATTCCTTGCAATCGCCAGGCTTCCACATTTCGAGGCCCTGTATGGGACGACTTGCAGTGCCTCGCTCGTCCGAGGAGAGCATCGTGCGATGAGGATGGGCTCTCTCGGTTTCCTCAGATCGGGTTAGAGTGGGTAATGGCCCAGCCTCGATGTACATGTGTCGCATGGGAACCAATGCTTAACGGTCGATGGAGCTCAATGGCATCATATGATCTTCAATTGAGGATGGAGCGGAGACGCGAAGGGCGAGGGATGGCAGCCGCTCCGCGACAACGGCAACGAGATCATGTTGATGACACGATGAGTCGACAACGGAAACGCGGGGCATGCATGGGCCGATTTGTGAGCGGCATGAAGCCCAGGGACGCAAGTGGAAGGGTATCGAGGCCGATAGAGTCATCGGAGGGTTTGTGGCTCTGTGCTGGACGTGGACATGGACGTGGACCAGCGGAGGGGGGGGGTATGATTTGTGATGCACCTCCTTGCCCTCGAGTTAAGGGACAACACCGTGGGCAGGCAGGCAGTAGACGAACCTGCCAATGAAAAAGGGCGGCCATGGGGATAACGGTCAAGGATGATTAACAAGCCGAGTGCGAAACGCAGCGACGGCGACGCAGCAAAAGTCACCGGGAACGGCTTGGGTTAGCGAGCAACACGCCTTGCTTCTGTCAGAAACGGGGGGGACAAGGAGACGGGGTCTCGGAGACAAGAGCAGAGCCAAGGGCGTGTGAAATTGACGGAGCTAACCTAAGCCCCGTCTGAGAGCAGGAAGGAAGAGAGAGTCACAGGGTACGTACCGCGTGTGTCTCGCACCTGCTGCCCACATTGTCTGTCGCTTGCTCGCTGGGCACTCAGTCTTTCTGTTGGCTGACACACAACCACCTCGCACCCGCACTCGGGAAGAACCCACCTGCCCAAGTCCGGCCCTTCGGTGGGTTGCGCCTGCCGGGCTGGCTCTGTGTGTGTGTGTGTGTGTGTGGTTGTGTCAGCAGGCCTCAGGGAAGGCTGCTCGCAAATCAGGGGCCCTGGAGGGTGTGGCATTAACACCACCTAATAAGCAAGAGGCTTAGGAATTACCATGCGCGTCCGCCTGGACCCGAGGCCAAAGTCCGAACGCCCACGCCTGCGACTGACCCATGGCTTCGCGGCCTTACACATCCACACCGCTACCGACCGCGAGCCCGGAATCCGAGAAGTGTCCATGGCACATCCACCCTTTCCGTCCACATCCCCATCAGCCAAGTTATAACACTCCGGCCTTCCCACCCCCCCAATCGTCAGCTTCCGATTTCAGCATCATTCCAAACATCATCAACAGCTTCACTCAGCAGCTCTAACTCAACAGCTCCCGCAACAGCAAAACATCATTCAGTGCCCCACCAAACAGCACTCTTACCTAACCATCACACAATAGCCAGCGGCTCTTATTCTTATTAGCCCCTGCTCGCATCATCCAAGACGCCATCTCCCACTCAGCAGCCTAGCGCACCCCTGCTCCTTGCCGATTACGGCTTGTCTGCCTTGAGTCACAACCAGCAAAAATTACACCATCTTAACTGTTCGAGTCACCACCACCACCATCCTGGTGCTACTTATACAAAATGCCATCCACCACCATGAACCGCCCCCCTCACTCCCCATTCAACACCCACACCACCAAGCAAACCTCTCTGCGCAAGACCATGTCCATCACGCAGACCTACTACCTCGCCCACAAGGCCCGGGCCAAGCTGTCCACCGAGGCCGCCCGCGCCGATCACGACCTCCGCCTGCTCGTCGGACACGCCAACCTCCTCGACAGCCTGATGCTCGACCTCGCCGACGCCGAGCGTGAGCAGGAGTCGTGGTTCAACCAGTCCGTCCGCGGCGCACAGGAGGAGAAGAAGGACCGCCACGTCCAATGGGCCGACTCGATTGTCGAGGACCCCGAGGAGGACTGGAACGCCGACGACGCCTCCTCCACATCCTCTTCGGACGAGTCCGAGTCCGACTCGGAAGATGACTACGACAGCGACGAGGAGGACGACATTGAGATGGCCGACGTCATGAGCCTCCGCCGCATCTCCTCCACCACCAAGCAGATCCCCATCCTCTCCGTCGACGAGGACGAGGACGACATGGAGGAGGACGACCTCGAGGAGGACTACGCTCAGCTCGAGCTCGTCCGCACATCCTCTCACTCCAACTCCCCGCCCGATCTGGCCCACGACTCAGACTACTCTTCGGACGACGACGACGCCATGCCCCCTTCGCCTCCCAACACCATTCTCACCTTTTCTGAGAAGGACGCCAAGCAAGAGCCCACCAGCGAACAGCAGCAACAACAACAAGACAGCCTCTACTCTGAGGGCTTCTACCTCCCCAGCAGGAACCCAGCCCGCCTCGTGTCCGCCATCTCCGTGTACTAGACTGCACCGAGCAACGGTTACGACATTGACGACTCTTGTTTTGTTTACTCCTGCTTGAGCGACAGCGATTGGGGCATAGCGCGGCGTTTGTTTTTTCTTTTTCTTTTTCTCCAGGGATACCCAGACGGATCTCCAAAAGGCAGCAATGCCCAACTCTTTCACTTCTGTACATATATTGGATCGGCATGGATTGCATTAGGAAGAAAAAAAGCAATCACGGAAGCATGGAAACGGAATCACATCTCTCTCGGCTGCCGCTCCCCACGGGTCGAGTGGCAGTCTCATCATTTCTTGTCATCAGATAGTTTACACGCCCTCGAGTCGCTGCAGCGGGCCGAGGTGAAATCTCACTCTACAATTGAATACAGTTCAACAAACAACCCCCCTGCTCCTCCCCGCTCCTCCCTTTTGCGTTTGAAAGAAGAAAAAAAAGTGAAGTCACTGCCAATGCAACGCCAAAAGGGCTGCTAACGAGTCGCAGAAACGCTTCACGAGTCAATCACAGCGGTATGACTGCATAGGCAACTGCAATAGTCCAGCAAAAAGAAAAAAAAAGTCGTGCCCCGCCCGACTTGCGGCACCCGCGGCCATCGGTCTTCGGCAACATAGCGTCCTCCGCCGGGCGGTCAAGGGGAGGGGCGTGTGCGGCCATGGCAAAATGAAAAACCCACCGACACGCCAAGGGGGGGGGGAGAAAGGAAGGAAAGAAAAGTCGCCAGGGCGGGCGGGACAGACCCCACCCACCCTGCCAGCCCAGCCCAGCGCCGACAGATCTCTCTCGCATCGTATCGACACACCCTCTCGACCCCACCCCTTTTTTCCAAACCTTGCCTGGTGCCTGTCTTGGTCAGGGAGCGTCTGATGAGCAATCACCGCCGGCTTTGTCAGACGCAGCCGAATCCGAGAGACCGCCCTCGTCTCACTGTTTCACGGCGGGCCCAGTGAGGATTTCAGCTTACCGACCACCTCACACACACCGCACACCCCCCGTCATCCATTCATGCCCCCCAAATCCCCCAAATATATACGACAAATACGACAAGGGGGTTTCTGCCTGACCTTCATTGCTTGGCCAATAATTGTAAAAGGCAGGGCGGGCGACGCGGGCTGGCAGGCTGGCAGGCAACGGGGGATACTGAAAGACAAAAATCCAGAGAACGGCGGAAGCGCACGTTTCTCTGTCTTGCCCAGTCAGTCTTTCCAGTCAGTTGTCGCTTGGGCCGCGTCGCCTTCGCCCTTTGCGGTCGTCGGTCAATGGCAGCACACCTCCCTTCCGCCGTTCCTCCGCCAATCGCATGGGGACACACAAGAAAGGCTGCCTGAACAGGCAGCATAGGAGGGAGGGGGGTGTGGCCTCAGCATAAGCTTAACAGTATATCTGGTTGGCGTTGCTATATCTCGTTTCTTTTTTTTTTTCTTTTTTTTTTTTTTTTTTGCTGAATGCGGAGCAGCAAGCACGTTGGGGGCTGGCTGGATCATGACCGGTTTTACGACCTGACCTGACAGGCCGCTTTGATTGATTGTCTCGATTCGTTTGGCCCCTCTTGGATTCTATGTTACTTTTCGACCGCTTTGCTGGCAAACAGGGCAACGGGCGGTGAGGGCAAAGGATTGGCTGGGGATGGATGTGCTGTCGACGTTGGGCTGCTCTGCTGTATGTTCTTGCTCTGTTATGAGCTGGGATGGCTTTGCTGCGCTGGACTGGGCTTACATTTGCGGTCCTTGCGTTGGGCCATGCGTTTGCACCTGAGGGAGATTTCCCATTAATGCGGTAAAAGGGGTACTTTTCTTACTCGAACGTATTTTGACTCGAACGAACAAAATGCATGACAATTTGGGGACTTCGTCAATCGGAGGCGCCGCACCAAAGCATGTATCATCTCACACGCGCACGCACGGGCACACACAGGAGCGACGCATCAAATAACCACTTACTCGAGCATGCCCTGCCATCAGCACTACTGACTGACACAGCCTGCCTAGGAGTCCTGCATACACGGCCAGCATGATTGCTATCGGTCAAGGCGATCAACCTGGCCGCGCAGGCTGACGTGGACGGCGCGACCGTGGCGCTTCAAGCGATGGATTGGAGATTGCCTGAATGATGAACGTTGTGGCTAGGTTTGACACTTGGCTGGCAATTCAACCGGATACAGAGCAGGTGGCTGGAGGACAAAGCTGCCGGACGATATACCAGTGCACATCACAGTCAGTAGAACAGAAGCAACAACAAGCGCTCGAGACGAACCATCGGCCCTTTTTGGCAGAACTGAGGCCGGTCTTTTTCCCAGATGCAAGGGCATGCGAGTTGCAGTGCAGTGCAGCAGCCCTCTGGCGGAGGAACGGCGGGTTTCGTGTTCTGCGGCTCGCGAGCTGCTCCTGTTGGGGCCCCTGGACTGGGCTGGGGATGATGGAGGGGTGTCTCTGTCTCGGTCCCACTCGGGTGCCGCGGATGGCGTTGGTGATCACCCGGCCTTTGCGCCGTGGGCTTTGACGTTATCGTTCGTTATCTGTACGTTCGACTCGACCTTGCTGGAGAGTACGAGACATGCATCCTTGAGGAATGAGAGAGTTGTTTCGAGACGACGACGGAGGATCACACCATCCTCCAGCGTGACCACTCACAATGCTTCTCCCGTACTCGTTGGCCCGGTCACAGGCAAAAGCCAAGTAGAGATAAGCATGACCCCTTATCAGATGCCAATGGTATCACCAGGCGGGTTCTGCCTGACGTGTAGAGCCCGCCCTTTCCTCGCGAATAACAACATGCTCCCGCCCTTTCTCAGTATCAGTGTGCACCATGGGCGTGGCGTGGAGGGCGGTGAAGCCTGTTGGGGAGCGCTGCAGGTGACACGCGAGACAATGTCTCTCCTCGCCGTGCGCATGTCTCGACTGTCTGCCTTGTCTGTCTGAGTGAAGCATAACAGCCGAGAGTCATCACAGGCTCGCAGGTACCATCACCAATGGGATCGGACCGGAACCTTTCGCAGAGTCGAACCTTGATGGGGACCGAGTTCGGTCTCGGCTGCCGTGATCTCCTCCCGGTTGCGGGTGCGGGGGCAACAGAGAGCTGTGGAGACTGATGAGGCCCCGTCGTCTCGATCAACGCAGCCCATCGATCGCTGGAGCGGATACTTGTCGAGAGTCCAGGCCCATGGGGTGTGCTGTTGCCGGGGACACTGAGGTCACGGAAACATTCTTGCTTGCCTCGGCGGGGGGTTTCATGATGAACTATACGACGCGGCCTACTTGGCAAATCGCCGCCCATGTCGAAACTTGTTGAATCTTGATTGTTTGTCGTTGACAGGCAGGGTGGGGGGAGGGGGGTGTGGTATGCTTGAGGACGACCCTGTATGAGGCGCGGAGTGGATGAGCCAGCTTCGATTGACAAGTTGTCTCAGGCCACGTTCTCCCATCCAGTGATGCACCTTGGTCCCATCACGGTGGGCAGATGACGGGCGGGCCGTCACGGGTCTAGACTCTGTGAGCACCAGATGCAAGGGCACGAGGCAGCAGCAGCGGCAGGTCGTCACAAGCACCGGCGGCCATCATGGTACAAATCGCCGTGGCGGGAAGGATGCTTGGCCGCGGAGTTCATCGCCAGCATGTCCGAGATCCATTTCTGTTGCGGAGATCAAAGCAGATCGGGAATCTGGCAGCTGTGGCAGGCCCTGGCCACCATCTGTCACGAAGCGGAATGCCTGATCGAGCTGGACGGGTGATGACTCAACACCCGTCGCGGTGTCGGGCTTTGGCAGGATGCCGACCACCGATCAATCTGTGGCAGGGGCCTCGCTTGGTCAGACACGCAGTGGGTGGCAGTTGCGATGGACCCTGAATAAGGTACAGTACGTCGGACCTGCCACGCACAGACCAGGCCATCCGAGAGTTCCTTCCGTCAGACTCAAAGCTCCAGTCGCCAGGGCAGCTGCCAATCACCAGCCGAACCTTCCGCAGAGCTTGAAGAGGGGGGGGGGCAAACGGAAGCTTCGTGCCTCACGTCATTGCATCGTCGCTGCCATTTGGACTCTGCCTCTCTACAGTCACACCTCCCAAGGCTTGCGACATCCCACACCCGGGCAACTTCCGGACACCGAGCAACGAACGTTTCGACCCTCGCATCGGGTCCTCCATCGTTCGAATCACATGCCGCTGATGCATCATCATCAGTAAACATCCCCAAACCACACAGCACCATCACCATGCGACCCCTCTTCCGCTCAGCAGCCCCGGCACCATCCGCCTGCCGCCTGCTCCCCCGCCGTCCATTCTCCTCTTCGGCTTGCAGATCATCTCTTCCCCCTCCCCCGCCTCCGGCCGCCTACGCCCCCCTCCCTTCCCGACGCCTCATCTCCGTCTCGGGCCCCGACACGGCCAAGTTCCTACAAGGCGTCATCACCGCCAACATCAACGCACCGGGGCCCCTCTATGCTGCCTTTCTCACCGCCGCCGGCCGCATCCTCAACGACGTCTTCATCTACCCCGACACCCTTGCCATTGGCGCCGGCGCCCCCGAAACGAGCTTCCTCATCGAGGCTGACGCCGAGCAGGCCCCCGTCCTCGCAAAGCACATTCGCCGCTACAAGCTGCGTGCCAAATTCGATGTTCGCCTCCTCGACGACTCGGACGCCCGCGTGTGGCACCTCTGGAACGACGCCGCGCCTGATCCGCCAGCGCAGTCCACCGCCGCGGGGGACCTGATGCCCGACCGACGCGCCCCGGGCATGGGCTACCGCCTTGTGCGCAAGGGGGACGCCGCGCCGGCACTGGATCTCGAGCAGGTCGATGAGCAGGCGTACACGCTGCGGCGGTACCTGCGTGGCGTGGCCGAGGGCCAGGGCGAGATGCTGCGGGAGCATGCGCTGCCGCAGGAGAGCAACCTCGACTACATGGGCGGCATCGAATACCACAAGGGCTGCTATGTCGGCCAAGAGCTGACCATCCGGACGAAGCACCGGGGTGTCGTGCGCAAGAGGATCCTGCCGTGCGTCTTGTATAACGAGGGGGATGCCATGCCAACCGAGCTTGCGTACCGGGACCATGGCGTGGATGCCAGTGTCATACCGCGGGAGGCCAAGATTGAGTCTTGCAGCAAGAGGGCCAGGAATCCGGGCAAGTGGCTCAGCGGCATCGGCAATGTTGGCCTGGCTTTGTGTAGACTCGAGACGCTGACGGATCTAGCGGGGCCGTTGCCGACTTCTTCGTACCAGCCGACCGACGAGTTCAAGGTCGAGTGGACGGCAGACGATGCGACGAACAGCCTCAAGGTCAAGGCCTTTGTGCCAGACTGGCTGAGGCAGTCTCTCGAGGCAGCACCGCCACAAAACGCAACGTAGCATGTGGACAGTAAGCCAATGTACATCACCATGTAGAATGTAAAAGTAGAGAAAATGGTGGGGGTATCAATTCATTTCAAGTCTCATCCCGAGACTCTCAGTTGTGGCAGCTTTTTGGGTATCATGTCTATGCCGTTGTGTCGTCCTCCTCCGCAGTGCCTGCCGCCGTCTCTTGCGCCGCCGCGAGCTTGGCAGCATCCCGCTTCTTCTGCACCGCGATCATCCTTGCCTTGAGGTCCTCCCACTTGGGCGCCTTGCCCTCGCCGCCGTTTGTCTTGGGAGCGTCTTTGGACTCCGTCTCCGGCGGCAGCTCGCCCCTCTTCCGCGCCTTCTTCTCGGCCTTGCGTCTCCTCGTCTCCTCAAGCCTCCGCTGCAGCTCCTGTATCCTCTCATCGCCCTCGTCCTCCTCGCGGTTCCTCTTCTCCTCGGCCTCGCGCCGGAACCGCTCATCCTCCTCCGCCCGCCGCCTCCGCAGCTCCTCCCCCATGCGCGCCTTCTCCCGCTCGAGCTCCCTCCTCTTCTCCTCCTGCTCGTCCCTGCGCCTCTTGGCCTCGCCCCTCGGCCGCCCTCGAGCTCGTCAATCATGCGCTTACGCGCACCCTGCACCTGCGCCCTCTCGGCGGCCCGCAGCGCCTGCGCCTCGCGCCCGCGGTCGTAGGCGCCGCGCGCCGTCGCGTCGAGGAGCACATCGCGCGCCGACTCGAGCAGCGCCCACTTTTCCGGGTCAAAGGCGTCGCCGGCCTTGTCGGGGTGGTGGAGGAGCGACGACTTGCGCCACGCGCGGTGGATCTGCTTCGCGTCTGTCGTCGCCGGGTCGAGGGCGATGAGGGCGTAGAGGTCTATGTGTTGGGACGCGTACTCGGTTGCCTTTTGAGTGAGGTCTTTGGTGTCCATTTTGGTGGGCGCCCTGGGGCAGGATACGTCTGTTTGTGTGTGCTGTTGTTCGTTTTGGAGGGGTGGAATGGTCAAGTTTACTTGGTCTTAACTTGCAACGGGCCTTTGCTCTTTGGATGACGATAAGGTGCTGATTAGATTTGGCTGTGGTTATGTAATCATTACTTGGACTTGGTCTCTCGATACAGTGGCATGGCCAGTCTGTGGTGACTTCTAGGCATGTAAACCATGCAGCGGCTGTTACGAAAAGAGGCTTACAGGTGTCTTGTGGGGCTTCATTGCATTTATTTCATGTGAAGTACTGGAATCTGGGTGGTTGTCTTGTTGTGAGTACTTGATTCCGCCGGGTGTTGATTTTTCGGGGAGCTAACTACAACTCGTATCGAATGCTGGATTTTTGTCGCCGGCTTCGCTGTTGTTTCAGTAGCGTCGTGACCTTGACTGACTAGATGTTCATCTTTGAACATGAACTCCGGGCTCTCGCTATCAGAGCCAGTTGGGTAAACTGATGATGAGAATCACTATAATTAGTGGACTAGCTATCCCACGTTGGAGTCGGAGGGCATGGTCTAAGACGACTCGAGATATATGAGCCCATCCCCAGCAAGCCTTCCACAAAGCTTATGGTGCCACGTAATCTGATCATCATCCAGGCTGGTTCCCGTCTGCAGCTCGTGGACTCCTGAGGCCACTCCACTAATGCTCTGGTGCTGCAGCTTGATATCAAACTCGTCGATCGTGTAAGTACCCGTCCGAAGGTGAAGTTCTCCGATAAATTGCCAGAAGACGTTGTTCTTCTAGCTAGCCACAACATCGTACGGATCCTATAGGTGTCAGTCACGAAGGACTGGCCTGTATGGGGTACAGACTTGGCAGGCGCAAGAATGGGGACACGAAATGCGCCTGGGCATCATGACATTTTCCGTGCAATGTGAACTTGAATCGGGCACAAAGTCTGAAGATTCGAATCACCAGCTCATTTGAACCGCTGCGTACACGAGATTCTTGATACGGCCGATCCTGATGCAATGTGATGCTTTAAGTGTCAAAGCAGCATATAGCGGCCATGTTGCAGGCTACAATCTCAACAGTATTGCTTTTTGCAACACTATGGAGGGTCGTCTATCCCATCTTCCCTGCAACCCCCGCCGAGTACTCTAACACTGTGATCCTCCGGTACTTTTCGTCAAGCCATACTCGTAAACGTGGTAATTACACACCCATTGTAGATTGCCATCGGGATCGTCTCACGGTTGTTCCTCGCTTGTGTGACCGTAGGCTGACGAGGATTGACGTCGTATCGGGTCCGTACATTTATTGACTGCTCGTAGCCATCATGTGACGAGCCTTCTCCGTGTTCGATTCTTATCCTCTCTGGCGATGCATAAACAGCCTGCGGGAAGCATTCATTAGCTCAGGAGAGTTTGGAGTCAATGTGCGGACACTTATCAGCCAAGGGCACTTATCTCTCACCTTGAGAGTCGATCATCCCTGTCCCTCCTATACATGATGGCTGTTATTACAAGAAGAACAAGGCAGCCAAGGGCCCATGCGCGTCGAAAAATCTGGGTTCATTTCTCGTCTATATATATATTCAGACTGAATCCGAGGCTATGGAGCCACAGATCTATAGGCCGTGCTATTCTATTCAGGTGTGTGCAGTCGACGAATTCTCCTATGGGTGCGCTGCGGGAAAGGTTGATATTCAGAGGCCGAGGTATTCTACGATGAGGCCATGCCATCCGTGACACCCAGCTCCTTTATCGAAAGGCTTGGCAGTCTAGCAAGAGGCTGGCGCCACGTGAGGCTGTAGATGAACCCCGGAAATCCCGGCCCATAGTCACATGAACATGCCAAAACCCCAGATTGAGCACGACGATCGTGGTGCATATCGCGCCCGGCAAAGCTGACTGATCAGCTGAGACATGCAGGGCTCGCATGTTTTTCAGACGATTTCGACTGCTCATGCTGTTTGACGAAAAAGGAGGGGCTCTCCTTTTTCGTAGATCATCGTCTTTCAATAGAACCAAACTCCCCCCAGCCAAGAAGTTGCGCGACAAGAATTGAAACGCCTATCCATCGCGAACAAGAGGAGCAGGAAAAGAAGTCCGTCTTCGTCTTGAAGCAAACCATAGCCGAAACAGTACAATGCAACAGGCCAAGAGGCCAAGCCAGGCCAAGATGGGTGGTGAGAGAGAGTCTGGGAAGCGGCCGATCGGTCGACGCGGAGGGAACCGTGCTCGCAATCCAGCAAGCCGCTGACCACTCAGATGACCAAGACAGGCCAGGAAAGCAAGGAAGCCGGGGGCGACAGCGCGGGCGCCCGCCGATAAGGGCCGGGGAGCGTTCCCCGGAGTTGGCTCTAGTGCCGTGGTGCATGGGGATTGGCGTTGGGGCGAGTCCCCAGAAGCCCGTGTGATGGCTTGGATGGCCAGAGAAGGGGGAAAGCTTGATCAGCAAATCATGGCCGGTCATGTCGTTAGATGAAGGCTGTGCTCGGTGACTGACTTGATCGGCCGGTTGACTGCATGATTGGGAGAGGCGGAGCTTCGTCCCATGGCATCGGAAGGTTTGGGCGGCCAGAAAGGGGTGGATGCAGAACCAGGGTCGGCAGGGGGCAGGAAAGAAAGTAGATCTGGGGTTGGGAGGAGGAATCCAAGGGGCGTTCGAACGTGACAGCGTTGAAGGTTCAGAGAGTCAGTTTCAGCTGAGTACGAAGAAGCATGTAGGGGGATGACGCAGAAGCAAGTATAAGAAGCTCGGGCTGGACGCATCGATGGGGCGAGCACAGCCCATGGAGCTATCGAGCCATTCCAGGCATCAGACGAGATATAACAAAGCATATCCCCAGAGCAGTCTGCCCGTAGGCGTCTGGTTTTTTGGCTCCTCCATCACCAGACCATAAGAAGGAAGCATAGTTTCTGCAAAAACGTTTGGTGCCATCCTTTTCCAACGAAGCGAGATACAAATACATACAAACCACCAACTACCTACACACCAACGTACCACCGAAACCAGCAGTGAGGATTCTACACCAATTATCGGCTTGGGTAACCACCAACCGTGACCAACCTTGACACAAAACAAAAACAAAAACCAAAAATCACAATGCCCTCATCAGACAGCAACAGACTCTGGGACATGGGCTGCGAGCGACGGGGTTCGGCAGAGTCAACGAGCTCGACATCGTCGACATACAGCGCGGCCGACATGGACCTGATGCTGCAAAGGCGAGGTGCGGCGTGCGGGGAAGCGCTGTACCGCCACCAGCGGTTCCCTCCCAGCAGGACGTTCACAGGGGCTTCAGGAGCTTCAGGGGCTAGGCCGGATGGCGATAGCGTGGCGGTATCTTATCGGCAATGACAACTCAGTGCTTGTGCCCCACAAGAGGCACAAACCCCCCCACACGTGCCTTCGCGACTGAATCGAGTGAAGCACAGCGCCATCATCAGTGGTTGTCGCGTCCCTTTCCAGCCTTGCCAGCCCACCTTGACTTTTTAGCCTTGCCGTCCTAGCCTTGCCTTCCTAGCCTTGCCTTCCTAGCCGTGCCTTCCTAGCCTGTATCCCTCCTGCAGCTGCATTTTTAGTAGTGGTCCCTCTTTTTTGTAGACACTCCAGTCTGCCTTTTTCGTGATACCCCTCCGCCTTCCATTCTCCGTCGACCATCCCCTCGACCTCCATGTCATGGATGTGTCTTCTACGGTCTCGGCTCATTCCAGGCAGCGTCAGCCTTAGACGTTTCTACTCTTATTCGTACGAAGCCTCCCGACAGAGATATACCCTCGCCGAAGAGTCATCAGGCGAGAGACCCCGGCCGCTCTACTTCAAAGTGCCCAGCAAGGGCAAATCAACGCAGCAAAAGCAGCCGCTTGCCTCGAAGCCCAATCGCCCACCGAGTGCCTCGTTCATAGCTGCCTCACATCTTGAACCCTCCAGACCCGCTGCCCGACCCAAGGCTGCCCTCAAAAACCGCGACGGCGGCTACGCAATCCACGCCCAGAACATGTCGAGCCACGTCCAGATCGTGGCGACGCCCACGGCCGACACGGCTGGCGCAGGCCTCCTGCTGCACTTTGACCACCGCCGTTACCACTTTGGCACCCTCGCCCAGGGCACGCAGCGCGCCATCTCCCAGCGCGGCCACTCCCTCGCCAAGCTCGACAAGATCTTCATTGCCGGCGAGGTCAACTGGGAGACCACCGGCGGCATGCTGGGCATGATGCTGACCGTCGCCGACGGTCTCGCGGCCGTCGCCCAGGATGTCAAGAATTCCAACGAGGCGAGGCGCAAGGAGGGCAAGCGCGAGATCGCCACGCCCAACAAGACGTTTGAGATTTTCGGCGGCAAGAACACAGCACACACCGTGGCCACGGCCCGGAACTTCATCTTCCGCACCGGCATGCCCATCAAGGCCGTCGACCTGACCCTCGACCCCCGCGCCGCCGGCGGCAGCCCGACACCGCACGACTACTCAAAGCCAGACTGGGAAGATGACACCATTTTGGTGTGGCACGTGCCGGTGGCCAGGAGCCGCCCCGCGACGGCAGCAGCAGCAGCAGCAGAAGCAGCCACAGCTGCTACAGCTGCTGGAAACGGTACGCGCCCGGTGCGGAAGCGAACCTTTGACGTGATGCACAACGCTGAAGCCGGCGCTGCCGTGACAGATACGAGATTGGGGAGCCAGTCGCCCCGCGCGCGGTCCCGCTCCGCCTCGCCCCCGCGGAAGAGGCAGCAGATGGCCGAGAACACGGTCCACGACATTGTCGAGAACATGTTCAACTCGGACTGGAGCAAGGACGGCCTGTTCGAGACCAAGCTCGCCGACGTGCAGATGCCGGCTAAGATCTTCATCCGCGAGAACGGCAACATCAAAAAGTACGACGGACCGACACCGAGCACGAGGGATGTCGTTGTGCCTGACATTACCGTCCTCGTTCGCAAGCCCTGGCCGAGCGCCATGGTCACCGACCTGCCGCCCACGACCATGTCTGACACGTCGCTCTGCTATGTGGTCAAGAACAGGGGCCGCCGTGGAAAGCTGAACCCCAAGGTCGCCATCGATCTGGGCGTGGCCAAGCCCGACTTCAAGCGCCTGACCGCCGGTGAGACGGTCAAGGCCATGGACGGCAAGGACGTGACCCCTGACATGGTGCTCGAGGCGCCTATGAAGGGCCAGGGTTTTGCCGTCCTGGCCATTCCCTCTCTGGAACACGCGCCTGGCTTCCTCGAACGGCCCGAGTGGCAGTCGGACGAGCTGCTCGACAATGTCCAGATTTTTTACTGGATCTTTGGAAAGGGTGTCTTTGATGACCCCTCGATCCAGGAGTTTATCAAGAGCAAGCCCCACGTCAGGCATCTCGTCATGGGCCCTGACATTTCGCCCAACATGATCACGTACGAGTCTTATGCGGCCCTCTTTACCAAGCTGCACCGACTCGACCCTGCACGATTCCCCGTGCTCCAGTTCGACAACACATTCCGCGACATCCCCAAGGTCGACGGCCTGACGGTTGAGATTGGCCGCACCGGCATGAAAGCCCACATGCTGCCCAACTTTAAGATTAACGACGCCGAGATTGTTCCCTTCCCTCTGCTCAACGAGGCCGAACAGATCGATGAGCAGGTCATCGCCTTGGCGGAAGAAGCCAGGCAAAGGGTGGCTGAGCCCAGCTTCACCGACCTCGTGGAGCAGGACGAGAAGGACATTCCCAACCGGGATGCTCTCATTGTGCCCCTGGGCACCGGTCAGCGGGAATTCAAAGTACCGCAACGGAA